ACTCCTCCTTCCAAGGTGCTACAGGACTCCTTCTCGTGATAGCTAATTTAGTCCTCATTATTGCATATATATAGTTGGATTATGTTTTCCAATGAGCATTACTTTGCACTTATCAGCATTAAAAATAATTTTCCTTTTTGTTTCCCAGTCACCCAGTCTTGTGAGATTCTTTTGAAACTCTTCACAGTCTGCTTTGAACTGAACTGTTATAACTTAAAGCAACATAAGGGTTTGGTAGTGGTAGGAAAAATGGACATGCCTGGAATGGGATTATTTCTCATAAAACCAAAAGAAAAGAGATGGAATCACCAAATCAAGTACAGTTTTCAAAACTGATATAACTGAGCAACTGTTGAAAAAGACTGACTCAAGATGAATCAGAAAAAAATAGGATGAATCTGCAATAGGACTGCTTCTCAATAAACCTTACAGAAAAGTGATAAAACTGAAATAGTGCTTTGTTTTGGCACAGCTAAATCAATGCTTGAGGTTTGAAAACAAGAAGATAATGTTACTGGAAACCAAATTGACTATATCCCTTTTCAGTTAGTACATAGCAAATGATAAAAGTTTATAGGGATGAAGAAAAAAATATACTTGATGTAATTCTTATTCTAAATGCATAAAATTAACTTTACCAAAATAACACTGTATTTTTGAAAAATACAATTGTTTAATAAAGTATGTACATTTTCCTTTTATTTTAAAAAATATTTAATTTCATTGAACCAGGAATCCAAGCAATACCGTGTTAAATATAAAACAGGAGTCACCAGATGATTATAGATAGAAAGATAGAGGTGCACCCATTACAATAGGTGCTTGTGGCAGCACAACAGTGGCCTAACCAATGTAAAGTATTTTGTGGGCATCATGGCAAAGGAGAGTTTGAATAAGGAGGAAAATAAGGTCGTTTTGAAGGTATTCGTAGGGAGCTTCTCCCAAGTATTAGAACATGGGAGAAAACATGAAGATGGTTGTTTATAAATTTAATAAATGGATGATGAAGGCTGGTAGCAAGGGCTTATTCAATGCAGCATCTGGCAACTTGATAGTAAGTACCTTGAGCATAGGTAGCTTAGGGATAGGGCCTTGAAAATAAAGACAAGTGGCTGATGTGTGACTAGAACTTGACAATTTTAAGTAGATTATTATAGTGGTGGGCAATGAGACCCATCACGATAATCCATTGTGTCAGTTTATTGACATTAAGACCTGCAGGCATAGCCCCTGAAGCTCCCATGGGTTGCAGTTCATCATTCCTGGCCAACAGGAGCTGTGGAAGCAGGAGTCAGCACATCCATGCAGCCTGAATGACTTCCCACTGCTCCCATTGGCTGGGAAGAGTGAACTGAAACCCATGGGAGCTTCAGGGATTATGCCTCTGTGTGTTCAGTGTTAGCAAGCCACCATTAGTTTACTTGCTGAAATTCAGATTGAACAAATCTGTGAATTTGGGTCAAAGTCAGGGAATGCCTTCAGCCAAATATTTAAAAGTTGAAATGGTTCATTTAGACATTTTTTTAAACGAAGTATAGAACACATATTACACATAGAACCCACAGTTCTATGTGTAATGTGTTGGAGAAAGGAGAGCAAGAGGAGGAAGGAAAAAGAGATTAAGGAAAGAAATTAGGAAAATGATCTTTGAACCAGCTTTTTGAATTGATGTGATTGGGGCAAAATTTCATATGTGAAAGCCAAAGAGGATGATCTTAAATAAATCTAGATGAGAAATTATGAGAGCCTTGTCAAAAACAAACAAACAAACAAACAAACAAACAAACAAACAAACAAAACAACAAAATAAAGAAAGCTGTGTTGATGAAGAGAAAAAAGACATGTCTCTGTGATCCTTGGAAATACAAGGATGCAGAGATAAGGCCATGTCAAAGATGACACCCAGATTATGAAGCTGAGTGACAACCAGGATGGTCTCAGAGGGGTAGCCGTGGTAGTCTGTAACTTAAAAAAATGAGTAGTTCTGTAGCACCAGAGGTCATGTCCACACTAGCAAATTATTTTTAAATAACTTATCATATATATAGTATCCCAATATCTGTGACTCTGTAATGCTGAAATGCTGGCTATTCCCTCTGGGCGGCACTGTTGCCTCCCTGGCTGTTCCCTCTGGGTGGTGCTGTTGCCCGAGTCATGTCCTTCGCCTCCCGCCGTGGCGCTCGGCTGACTTCTGCGCCGCTCAGTGGGGCCGCCATGGGGGAACAAGTGGCACAAACAGCCGTTTGTGCGCCGTGGTCCCCATGTAGCATGAGGGTGCTGCATAGGGAGCGAGGGGCCCAAACGGCTGTTTGTGCTGCTTGCTGCCCCACGGCAGCATGGCTGAGTGGCGCAGAAGTCAGCCAAATGCTATGGCAGGAGGGGAAGGGGGCGGGGCAGTGATGTATATGGCCAGGGGGTGGGGACTGGCCATGTACGTCACCACCCTGACCCCCCTTCACCTCCCCCCCCACCGCAC